CTGCTGTGTTCATCCAGCTCTACACCTTGTTATCTCAGATTCTCCAGCATCTGCAGTTCCTGCTATCTCTTGATAAAAGTATACTTGGATTTGATAAAATGGCATTTCAAATGTAAGTAAACAAAGTAAGAGCTCTTGGTGTAGGGGTGGCATCTAATCATGGACAGAGGATTGCTTACCTACAGAAAGCAAAGAGTAGAAACAAATTAGTCAATTTTGGTTTGGCAACCTGTAAGTAGCAGAATGCCACAGGGATAAGGGCTGTGACCTCAACTATTTACAATTTATATCAATGACCTGGGTAAAGGGAGCAAATATATATTTGCTGATGACACAAGGATTAGCAGGAGAGTAAATTGTGAAGAAGATGTAAGAAGTCTGCAAAAGGGTAAAGACAGACTAACCAAGTGGGCAAAAAATTGGCAAATGGACTTTAATGCTGGAAAATGTGAACTTGTCCATTTTGGCAGATTTTTTTTTATGGTATGGTATTTAAATGAATTGAAACTGCTGAACTCTGCACTACAGAGGGACCTGGGTGTCCTGATACATAAATAACAAAATATTAGCGTGCACGTACGGCTGATGATTCGGAAGGCAATTGGATTTCTGTTGTTCATTACAAGAGGAATTCTATATAGGTGTAATGAAGTTTTGCCACAGCTATATAGGGCATTGGTGAGACTACACATACAGTTTTGGTCTTCCTAATTATGAAACACTATAGTTGCCTTAAAGGCAGTTCAGAGAACTTTCACTTAAATGATTGCCAAGATAAAGGGCTTTGTAGTGAGATGAGTTCATTCTGTATCCTTTGAAGGTTAGAAGAATGGGAGGTGACCTTGTTGAAACATATAAGATCCTGAACAGGCTTGACAGGGTGGATACTGAAAGAATGATTTTCCTTCAGGGGATGGCTGGTAGAACTGTTTGAGGTGGCGATTAAGAGAATATTTTTCTCTCAGAGGCTCATTAGTCTGTGGCATTCTCTTCCATAGAGACCAGTAGAGGAGGGTCACTGCATATCTTTAAAGTCAAGTTGGATAGCTCCTTCATCATCAAGCAAGTGGAACAGGAAGTAGAGAGGAAAGCAGAGTTGAGGTGACAATCTTATCAAATGGCAGAGCAGGCTGAAACAGCCAAATACCCTACCACTAGACCTGATTCGTATGACATGCAAGCAGGCATTACTTCAAACAACCTTTCATCGACCTCTCCTAACACTACAACTATGGCACAATGTCCATTCCTTTAGTTAATTTATTTTCTTTTCATTTTCCGTTTTCACATGTAGCTTGTTCCACGCTAACGGTTTTATATAGATGTAAGTCATTGCTGCTGCTGTTCTCCGGTTTTGTGACAGTAATTTTCTCTGATCACTTACTGAAGAGCAAGAGGTGCTGCTGCATGTGCGTGGAGTGGAATTGCCCGATGGGACCTGTGGTACTGTAAATTGGTGCAGATCCGGTGATGACTGCTTGCTGAGCTCGGTAGGACCTTTCACATTTGGTTTTGTTGCTTCCGTCGGCCACAGCTTGTTTCGTTGAATAATAGCCTTATTATAAAGAGGAGCTTCCTCGAACTGTTGGTTTCCTAGTAAAAATGACAACAAAATGTACATTTGTTGAAATTGTTGGTATTATTTTGATTCTTTTTGATCTCATTTTAATCCATTGCTAAGTAAAATGAATCCAATTTGCAAGCTTGAAGATATGGACCAATGGGCACACAAGTATGATTTTACAATGAACCGTTTCTATTGCATCTGAAAATATTCTGACTGGTTTGAAATAAAGGCTGAACCAGACCTTTTTCTCAATTTGCATTGCCTACAGGTGCCCTACCCAGTGCATTATTTAATTTGTTTCATTTTTACATCTTTCCTTTCACAATGCAGTCCCAAACTGTGCTCAGATCTCTGTCAGTGGTACTCAAAAAAGCATGAGAGTACTCTGAATGATCTTTCCTCTCACTTTTCTTTCCTTGCATGGAGGTGTCTCTTCTTTACTTGGTTGCCTCACTCAAAGTGTACAGCTGACATTGGAGTGTTCTTCGCTGAGCACATCACCATTCATGGAAGAATACTTTTTAAAACAAAATTGGGGATCGACGTCAAATATTTATTGGGCAAAATATGGTTTACGTACGATTAAAGTAACATCTTAAATTCCAACAACATACCATTGACACTGAAATCAAGTAGAATAATGGAATCTCCAGGTGTAGGCGCAAGTTGTGCTAATTCTTCGGGTTCTTCCTTCAGTTTACTGAAGAGCAGATTACCATCATCTGGCATTGGACCACCGCAGATATGCTTCCCATTCATATTTCTCATGGCCTGGCAAGGCTTGAACAGAGACTCTGTCTGGTCCATGGAGAATACAACATTCTTCTTCTCAATCTCACTGAAAATGGAAACAGTTGATTTCAGTATTTTTTTAAAGAAAGAATTTTATTGTAGAATAAAAGAGCAAGGAACAGTGTGCATTTATTTACTATCTCATCACATTCTCAGGATATCCTCATGCAATTTATCATTAGATTGCTTTTGAAGTGTAGTCACAGTTATGCTACTATAGCCAGTTTGGCACACAACAAGGTTCCACATACCAACAGAAACTGGATAAAGCGACAGAAAAATCTTTTTTATTTGCACGAATTCCCAGGTACTGGGACAACTGTTTGCTCATGTTCAGATTGTGGCATGGAATTTTCATGTCCCGCTGAGTAAACAGAGTTGGGGTTTAATATCTCAGCCAAACATTTTCAAGCTATGCTCAAATCAGAAGATCCATTGCTTCTGAGTGTGTTATCAACTGAGCCGAGCTTATCGACTCTGCAATACCCAGTGTACAAAATTGTTGTTTATTTACAATAATGCATATTGAATTTGCTCCAGTCATCAGTAGTAAGCATAACATTTGCTGGCAGTCCAGTTTCAAAGTAATTTCTAAATGTGTAGTTTTATGAATTGCCATCATGTAATTTTTAAAAATAACTTAATAAGGTTCTCATTCATTTATTTCACTCACAAACTGTTCCACAGCTGCACATTTTATTGGTGAAACAAATTAAAATAACAATTTCAAACTTTAGCCACCCTAAATTTAGATTATCCACACCTAATTATAGCTTTATTGATACTGATAAAAGTAAGGACAGATGAAGCAATAAAACCTCTATTCTCAGCATTCATGGCAAACAAGCAATTACAATATATTCTGATAATCAGTTGGTTTTAATACAACAGAAGCAATTGTTCATTGAGCACCTTGGTTGCATTTACCTGACTTTCTTTCCTGCTCAGTATATAAGGTGAGTAATAATTGTTATAAATTTATGTAATGAATTTTATTTTGGTTTCAATCAACTTTGGTGTTGGTAATGTCCATCAGTGTCCTTTTTTCCCACTTGATACAGAATAATCCACAAGAAGACAATGAGTGATGTTCCCCTATTGCTTTGAGATCTAACATGCCCAATTTGTTTTGCAAAACTTTTCCTACATTTTAGAGATGATTGATCATTCCATTAATGTTGTGCACTGCCATCTTAATAAAGATGAACAGCGAGTTAATGTTTAAAAAGTATCTACAGATTATTTGGAATTGGCAAAGTAATTTACAGTAAATATTCAAAGATAATTGCTCATCTCTCAATATTCTTTTTCTTTCCTCAAAATATTCATTAACATGGTTTTATACAAAAATTGCTTTGTTACCATTTTTACAACTTATTTGCTTCTGATGATTTCAGTTTTCTTATACTCCTTAAATGGTGTTGGAACTTTTTAAGTTTTAATATAAGCACCACATCTATATTTAGTAATTGCAGGTAATAGTATGATTTTCAGCATTCTGATATATCCTTACACTAGAAAATGAAGGTTCAGTCAGAAGCCATTTTGTATTCTTTATTTTTAGATATTTGGTTACTTTTAATGCAAAAGCATTTCAGCTCAACTTATCTTATGTCTCCTGTCAGTTTTGAGTCAATTGATTGTTGTCCTCTTTCCAGGATTGAAAATTCCAAACTACCAAAGTGTGTACTTTGTTACCAGATTTGCAGAAGGCAGAATTCTGATGAAACTAGAGCAGTGTGGTAGATGGCAAAGTCACCCATGTTACCCAGATCTTGACAGCCATAAATGCTCACACAAATCAAAATAGGATCATTTCAAGGCAGAAATCCTGTGTTTAGTTTCCTGTTTCTGAAATCAATTGTGTAATAATGCAGGCGTACCTCAGTACGTAGTTGACACACACAATGCACTGTGGCTGAGAGTTACGGCTGTTGTAGATGACTGTCCCTTGGGTCTCAAGCCACACGTATCCACCGTGTTTCGCGAGCATCCGGTACTGGCCAGTAACTGACTGACCTTTAGTGCACACTTTAGAAATAAAATTAACATGAAACAAATCAATTTTCTTTCACAGTTCTTAATCAATATTTTTAGTATCTAGAAAAAAGTATTAATTGTTGTAATATACAAGCCATGTTCATCATCTAAGCTGCAAATCATAAAAGCCCCCTTGATCATGTAACATTTGACAATGGCAGCACTATATACTATACTCAAGAAACATTAAGTCCTTTTTTGTTTGTGCTCTGAATGGAAATCGCTACACCTCACTACATTGTTAGATCTTTAATATGACTAAAATGTATTTTCCAACTTCTTACACATCTTTAAAAACACTCAGCAAAATACATTCAGCAGTTATGAAGAATGTTTTCTCTGTTTACCTTGTACTCAAATACAGCAATATATTTGTTATCTGATTAATGAACCTGTTACTTTGTAATCTAAACTGTACTTTGATCCAATATGAATTTTGGTAGACTGCCTAATCTGGTGGTTATCATTGTGTTCTGAAAAGATAATTACATTGGGTACAATCAATAAAATCTCAATGTGTGCCATGCTCCAGTTACTTGTTTTCCAGAAGGCCTTATTATTGCTGTAATCTTGTTTTAAACAACACACAATGTCACTAGAAGGATACCTGCCAATCTGTTAGGCCAGTGATTACGCAAGTACTGCCATGTGGAAGTTAAACTACACTGCTGATCACTGTTTGCTTTCTACTGATCTATTAACCAGCTGTTTTGTAGGCATCTTAGATATTGCACACAAACGATGCAGAATAAACAGAAATTGTCACTTTAAGAGACTAGAATTTTCCTTTTTTTGTCATATTTCAAACTTCAAAAATTTCGCACCATTGAAGATAAAGACTTTGTAAAAAAGGAAATTAAGGTAGCTATCAAAAGGCGAAGTGTATAGTTAAAAAAGACAGAAAGTTTGAGATTACGATTATTTAGAGTTGGTTGAAGAACATCAATAGTGACAATTGAATGAATTAAAGCCTCAATGACTAATTACATCCATCATACACAGTTTATAACTCATTTCATGTCCATTTATAGAATCTTACTTAATTGCTGCTTTCCCAATTTTCTCTGTCTTCATTTGCCATTTCATGTATTATAACCCCATACTCATGATTTATTATTCATTCAATAAGACATGAAACTTAGATATGTGGATCCCTCTTTGACTGGAAAACAGGGAGGTGTGTTCCTATGGCTAGGTGTGGCCCTGATGTTTATTTTTCCCTTCTTCCTCAAATGAACCAGGTTCTGAACATGCTGAAAACTCTCAAAGTCAATAAAGACAGCAAAAATTAGGATTCAAATCCATCAACCTTTCGTAGGTAAACAGCATTGCTTCTGAAGCTAGTTAGTCTGATTATTCTGTTTATAAGAATTTATATTACCAGGTGATAGCAAATGATGGTTGGGAAAATGTGTACAAATGCTATTGTAGGCTCTAAACACTCACAGTTTCAGATGTACTATTGTGTAACCAAAAACAGCAGAGTGCTAGGATATCCCTCTTGTCTACCCCTTTGGAAGCAAGATGTCCTATATCTCAAAGGATACAGTTACAATCTATATATTTCTAGTGGTGTGAACATATTCCAAAATATATTATTAAAGGAAACATGTGCCACATTAGGGATCACAGTTAGCCAATGTAAATTGAGCGTACTGTTTCCAAAACCGTGCTAAGCCTTCTTGCAAGGTCAGTTCAAATGGAGAAAACTTTTAAGACAATTTCCTCTTTCCAACCCAGAATGCCATCTTATTGCTTTCTTATTTTACCTTTTACATTGAGCTAGTTCTTCAAAGTTTGATGTAATGTTTCTTCAGAAGAATGGATCCTGTTAAGAATGTTGGAGAGGAATTTTGCCACCAATTTGATGGTTATAAGAGAATAATATTAGAGAATCGCTGAAGTGTTACAGTGCAGAATGAGGCCATTTGGCCCATCATGACTGCAGCAGCTTTTCAAATGAGCATCATAATTTAATGCAATTCTTTTGTCTTTTCCCTCGATGCATGTGGATTGTTTCTACTTTAAATAATTATCCACAGTTCTCTTGAATTCTTCAACTGAACCTGCTTCCAGCACACTGCTGAGCTGTGTATTTCAGACCCAAACCACTGAAATTGTGAAAAGATTTTCTCACATCACCTTTGCTTCTTTTGAAAACGATGCTAGTCTGTGCTCTGTCATTGTTGATCATTTTATAAGCAGAAACAGCTTCTTTCTATCGACTCTATCCAGCTCCCTCATGATTGCAAAAACTTAAGGATCTCCTCTTATCTGTCTTCTCTCCAAGGAGAACAACCGGAACCTCTCGAATCTATGCTCATAATTAAAGTTTCAAATCCCTGGAACTATTCTTATCAATCTCTTCATGCATTCACATCCATCCTATTGTATGGTGCCCAGAACTGTACACAATACTTTAATTGATGTCTAGCAAGAGTCCTATACAAGTTCATCATAACCTCCTTGCTGTTGTATTTTTTGCCCCTATTCATGAAGCTGAGGATTAGTATGCTTTGTTACCCACTAAAATAAAACAAAAAACTACAAGGAAACCCCATCATCTGAAACATCTGCCCTACCCACTGTTTCAGGACTATCTTATCCCATTCACCAATTTGTGTAAAGTCCCCTGGGAAATGTACCTTAGTGGCTAATGTGTCCCAAGTAAATCCTTATGGCTCTTTTTTTCATTCATTCATTCATGGAACACAGTCATTACTGGCTCGGCTGACATTTACTGTCCATCTCTAATTGCTCGGAGTCAACCACATTGCTACAGGTCTGGAATCACACGTGGGTAAGGACGACCAATTCCTTCCCTGAAGGACATTAGTGAAGCAGATGGGTTTTTACAACAATCGACAGTGGTTTCATGGTTGCTGTTAGATAGACGTCATTTATTTCCAATTTTTTTTTGTTGAATTCGAGGTTCAGCATTTGTCATGTTGGGATTTGAACCCATGTCACCGGACACTAGCCTGGGATTCTAAACTAGTCCAGCGACATTACCACTAGACCACTGTCTCTCCTTTAACATGCTTAGTTGAACTTTAATTATTTATTTTGAATAGACTGCCTGCCAACAGGCTGCCAATTTCAGCAACTGCCCACTCTTTGCCCTATGGAGGTGAGTTCAGGGATGAGTTGGAAGGTTGGGTGCCTGCAATATTTTCTGTTACCCTCTCAATGAAAACACACCCATCATTTCACCATTTGGAGTCTTGGGACCCTGCTTTGGTCCTCCTCATAAAACTAGGGAAAGTACGAGGGGTAGTGGCCAACAAGCCACTATCACATGCATTTCTGAGCTGGTGGGAAAGTTGTGTCAGCAGAAACTTGGAGATACATTTTTCTTCACGTCAATAGTGTAACGACGATTCATGTCCCCTCCCACCTGCAAAAGAATCTGACCAGTTTACATTGGTGCATTTTTAATATTTATTATTGATAATTTTATAGATTTATTTTTAATTATTTAATTAATGTTCTTGTCTTGGAAATTCTATTGGGCTCTTTACAAATGTTATTTTATATTGTATGCAGAAGAATGAAAGTTGCCACAATATTGGAAACTCCATTAGTATTTAAAAGTGCCAAGGCACTAATACTAATGTATCACCAGAATATCTTATAAACCTACTACTGCCAGAGATGGGGACAACTGAAATTACAAAATGATTTGAGTGAAGATTTGAAGATCTGAAAATGAGTAATAAGGATTTTAATGTTGTGATCCTGCAGTTAACTGACTTTCACCAGCACATTAAGTTACAGATTCTTTGGATGGGCCACTTACAGTTTTGGTGGCTTTTAATCATGTGATCTGAATCCATTGCATGGTAAAACTCATAAACTGAACGGCCAAGCAGTTCTTCCGGACAATATCCCATCAGTGCTGCAATTCTGGCAAAAGAAATGTTAAACTGTCATGGTTTGCACATAAAAATCTGAAAAGAACCTGCTGTATATTATATATATATATTATCTGTAAAGCAGAGTGAAGCATAATCAAATCATGGAATGCAAATTTTAAAAGAAATATGTAGGAAAAAGATGAGAGAAATATTTCAAATAAATAAAATGTATAACAATTTTAGAAAGGGATGCAGCTATTAATTTAGTTGTTGTTTAATTCAATGTTTAATATATAAAGGGGAAGGCAAGAACAAAAATAATTTAAGGGATGAAGAATTAACATTTAGTGTGTGCTACACTTGGAAGTGCTACAACCCAATCTAGGATATGGTCTCTGCTTCCAAATCATTTGTTCTGCTTAAAGAGTAATTCTGACTAAAGATGCATTTTATCAAACATTTTCATTTGGCACTCATCAGGACATTTTGCAAGAATACAAATTCATGGGGAAAACCAACATTCATATTGCACGAGAGGAGAATGCTGATCAGGCAGTGGATTCTGATTGGTAGAGGCATTGCCATGGAGGTTGAACCCATTAATGCTGATTGGCAATTAACAGGTTTTGTTTAAACCAGGCAGGTTGACTTTGACTGGTTAGTGCATTGCCCTGAGAAATGAACCAGTGAATGGCTGTCATCTATTTAGTTGAATTGAAACAGGTCCAGTATGTGTATATATTCTGTCTGCAAAGAAATGGGGTATGGTGTATTCATAAATGTAGCTTCTAGCACAGGCAAGTGCGCCATAATGTGAGCCCAACTGATAATCCCAAATACGTAGTCAATGTAATTTCTCACACAGTCAGGATTATTCAATAAATGTTGTCCAGTTTCAGAATCATATCTAATGTCAAACATCATGTTGTGAGTTTTGCAAGCACAGGCTGGTTGGGTACATCAATGCAGCCAAAAGGGCATGCTGTTTGATACAAAGTCCTCAGTCTTTGGGACAGAGGTCTTCAAAGGCATACAGCAGCCAGCCAATGCCTTATCAAACAGAGGAAAGGGCATCAGGGGTCCAGCAGCAAAGAAGCAGCCAAACAGCCAACATAAAGACAATGCATCAGATCTGTGACAATAACCCCTTACTGACAAAAATCCTCCTCAGAAAAATCATTACTGAACGCTTTTCCCATCATGCATCCAACAGCTGTGCACTAATGTGAACCAGACTCTTCATGTTTGGCAATCTGCAATTTGAAAATCACCTTCTCACCCTCCCCAGCCTGTTAACTAGCTTTTCAAGCTGCTTGATAGGTAGTCCATCGGAATCGTACAGATTCCCAGCACCCTCCCTCCCAGTCCAATAACTCGATTATTGAAGTGCACCACTCAGACAACTGAATAACAAGTCTGAGGTGTCCTACTTCAAAACATTAACAGCAGCAAATGCTGACTCAACAATAATTCTTTTCTAAGGAATATGTTATTTGAGTCAATACATTTTTATTGGTCCTGTTTATAAATGTCAGATTTCAGCAGGGTCAAGGTGCCAAATGATTTTAAGGAATTTGGCAGTGACAGATATTAATAGTTCTTGTGTAAAGGCTGTATTTTTTCTCTATGAATATGCTAAATAAGTTCTTTCAGTCTTCAGTTAATTCAGGGTATTACATTGTATCTGCTTACTTGGCAGTTCATTCCTACTGCAACTGTGTACTGACTGTATCCTTTGTGCCTTCATGACTTCCGTTTTATGCAAACTGCTTTATCTTTAAAATAATGTAGAATGTACACTATGCTGAAGCTACAGATGATACCATTTAATCACCCTAACCAAATTCACTGTGGTTAGATGCAGCATAACACTACCCAATAATATGCCTCCAGATCAAAACAGTTATCAGAATTGGTACCTTTTCATTTCCCATGTGATGTCTGCAAATCAAATGTCCAATTTTGAGTTAAAATAGGAACAATCTTGTGCTGTGATTAAATATCTATGGGAATTAAATGAAGACTGTCTACATTCATTTTATTTAGTCACTTAGAGTTACAGAACACCACTTTTCTCCTGCGGTGGATTTGAGCCTAGGTCCTGGACCCAGCATATACCCACTTTGAAACTTTGTGGGTGCAAAATAGTCACAACAGACTCTAAGAGATAGTAGGAACTGCCGATGCTAGAGTCTGACATAACAAGGTGTAGGGCTGGATGAACACAGCGGGCCAGGCAGCATCAGAGGAGCAGGAAAGCTGATGTTTTGGGTCTGGACCCTTCTTCAGAAATGGGGGAGGGGAAGAGGGTTCTGAAATAAATAGAGAGAGGGGGAGGCGATGATAGAAGGTGGATAGAGGAGCAGATAGATGGAGAGAAGGCGGACAGGTCAAGGAGGCGGGGATGAAGCCAGTACAGGTGAGTATAGGTAGGGAGTTGGGATGGGGGTTGGTCAGTGAGGAGGGAGGGGCGTGTAGATGGGAGGGAAGACGGACAAGTCAAGGAGGCGGGGATGAGGCTAGTAGGTAGGAAGTTGGGGTGGTGGTTGGTCAGTGAGGTGGGAGGAGCAGATAGGTGGGAGAAAAGACAGACAGGTCAAGGAGGCGGGGACGAGATGGGCTGGTCTTGGGATAAGGTCGGGGGTGGGGAGATTTTGAAGCTTGTAAAGTCCACATTGAGACCTCTAAGATAGCACATGCTAAGTCTGTAAAAGTAAGATGGTTAATGATATAATGGTTTGGATGTCCTGTGGTCATTCTGGGCACTTGGGTGAAAATAGCCTTGAACCCATTCCCAATGTTCACTGCTGGTACAGAAGAACATTTCCATATCGAATTCATCCACTGGATGGCTGATCTGTGATGCAGAGGTTGATGCCAACAGCATGGGTTCAAATCCCACATTGGCTAAGGTCATCATGAAAATCCAAAGTTCTCGACCTTACCTGAGGCATGGTGACCTCAAGTTAAACTCACTGCCAGTCATCTCTCTCTAACTGGAGAGCATCCTTATGGTCATCTGGGACTATGGCAACTTTACTTTTCCCATTATAGGTTTTTCATAGTGAGTTAATTTACCAGTTCTCACTTAGGTACTTAGCAACTTAAGAAAGGAAAACTTAAAACACAGAGAAGAACTCAAGGTTATTTATTGATGTGTTTCTAATCATTTAAACCAATACTGTACCTCTCATCACAGTAGGTAAACTTCATATCCATGCTGTGACGGCTCAGGAATGTCTTGCTGTCCAGTGGAACGTCAATATTAGATGGATGTTGAATCGGCTCACACATCATGATCAAGCAAGTCAGGGGTGGCTCCTTGTACCCACACAGTGTATGAGCTTGGCAGGCATTGTATATTTTGATGTGGCCAGTACAGTGCAACACCTTAATAAAGCAAAATAGAAAATGTAAAACTCGTTTGGAATTCTCCCCTGATACCATGTCATTTTCACTCTATTTTCTCCTCTCCTCTCTGTGAACAATTAACTCCTCATTGGAGAGACCAGGGAAGAAAAAGAAGCCTTTCAGAGTGACCCTGAGAAGGTAATGGGAACATATGGTGAGGATGGTCCTCCTGACAGCAGGATCAAACAAAGTTAAATGGTGACACGCCGGTGGTCAAGGAGAGATAATGCATCTGCACATCACATTATGCAACCAGTACATGCCCATTCCTCACCCAGCACCACCCCCCTAACACTGGTCTGGGTGTTGCTGGCTGCGCCAGCATTATTTGCCCATCGCTCATGGTGATGATTGAGAGGACACTGATGGGGTGGTAATTGGCCGGGTTGGTTTTGTCCTGATTTTTGTGTACAGGACATATCTGGGCAATTTTCCACATTGTTGGATAGATGTCAGTATTGTAGCCAGAGTGGAACAACTTAGCTAGGGGAGTGGCAAGTTCTGGAGCACAAGTCTTTAGTACTTTTGCCAGTGTTGTGTCAGGGTCCATAGTTTTTGCAAATCCAGTGCCTCCAACTATTTCCTGATATCATATAGGGTTAATTGAATTGGCTGAAGACTGGCATTTGTAATGTTGGGAACTTCTGGGGAAGGCCTGACATTCTGCCTCACCCACACATACCTCTTCGAAGTCTACCACCTTGTACATGCCTCTTGCTGCCTGCATTTGTGTCCATCTTTTAACTATGTTAGGTATTATCCAAGTGTACAGATGTATTAATGGCCCACTGCCCTCTCTCTACCAGGAGAAGGTGACTCATAACAAGAAAGAAAGCCAAAAGATTGGAGGAGAACCAAATCCTACGCATCGCTCTGTACCCTGGGGGTGTTGGTCCTTTGAATCGTGGACTGCAGCATTAATTAACCCGTGCTATCCGGTGCAGTGGAGATCATGCTGTGTGATGGTACATTGCTGCCTTATGGACCTTCTACACCAACTCCCCTCACTCTCATCCTGTCTCCTCACGTTCCATCCATCCAGAGTAATTCAAGGAGAAAGAAGGGCAGACCTGCTGCAGTTGTTTAGATTTAAGGTCTGCAAGGAGGTAGTCATAAGGAATGGACCATAAATGGATGGCTGGCAGGACAAGGGGAAAGTAATAGGGATCAAACCTTTATCCAGTTTATGACCACAGGATCCTTTTTTCATTTAACTGGTTCGTGGATCTTTCGTTGAACAATAGTGCACTCAAAATTATCAAATTTGTGATTTTAATATGTTCCTTTAGTTTTGATGAGCATTAAAATATTATTTTATTCTAAAATATTTTTCCTTATGCATTGGATGTAAACATCATTGGCTCTGCCAGCATTTATTGCACATCCCTAATTGCCCAAAGGACAGTTAAGAATCAAGCACACAGCTGTGGATCTGGAGTCACATATAGGCCAGACCATTGGAGGATGGCAAAGTTTCCTGTCCTGAAGGGCATGGCGGAACAAGATGGGGTTTCTCCCCCAACAATCAACAATGATTTCATGCACATCAATAGGGTCCAGATTTCCTTTTTGTATTGAATTGCAAATTCCATGTGCCATGGCAAGGTTCAAATCCAGGCCTGTAGAAGATCAGCTGCATCTCTGATTTAACAGTCGAATGAGAATACCACTAGGCCATTGCCTCACCAGTGATTGATTAGAAAACTTTCTTACACAGGAAATGAACTTCTGACCCTAAAGGTACATTGAGAAAACCACCAAATGTAGCTGACTGAATTGCTACTTCTGGTTTCTCACCTTCCAGGTGGCAGACTTGAGGTTGACAGTTCTTCCGCGGTTTGTCACAGTACATTTCATTCTCATGAAGAAGTCACGTTCTGTGTTCACATCTCTGTGTTTCTTTCCAAAGCCTGGGGTTGGAGACAAACAACAACAATTAGCCATTGCAGTATTTATTTTCAACATTATTCCAAGCTTCTCTTCATATTACTTCTCATTGAGTCATAGTCACAGAGTCACACAGCATGGGAACAGACCCTTCGGTCCAACTAGTCCACGCTGACCATGTTCCCAAACAAAACTAGTCCCAACTGCCTGTGTTTGGCCCATATCCCTCCAAATCTTTCCTATTCTTGTACTTATCCAAATGTCTTTTAAACGTTGTAACCGTACCTGCATCCACCACTTCCTCTGGCAGTTCATTACACACATCAACCACTCTCTTTGTAAAAAAAACAAAGTCGGACTGGAAAAGCTCAGCAGGTCTGGCAGCATAAGGTTTACTGGACCCAAAACGTTAACTCTGTTTTTTGCCTCACAGATGCTGCCAGACCTGCTGAGCTTTTCCAGCAACTTTGTTTTTGTTCCTGATTTACAGCATCCGCAGTTCTTTCGGTCTTTGGAAAAAAGTTGCTTCTCATGTCCTTTTTAAAATCTTTCTCCTCTCACCTTAAAAATGTGCCCCCTACTTTTGAACTCACCCACGCTAGGGAAAAAACCTTTGCTATTCACCTGATCTATGCCCCTCATGATTTTATAAAGTTCTGCAAGGTCATCACTCAACCTTCTGCGCCTCAGTGAAAAAAGTCTCAGCCTATCCAGCTTCTCTTATAGCTCAAACCTTCCAGTCCTGGCAAATCTTTTCTGAACCCTCTCCAATTTAATTATAACAGGGCAACCAGATCTGCATACTGCACTCAAGGAGAAGCCTCACCAACATCCTGTAACCTCAACATAGAATTCCTACAGTCTGGAAGCAGGTCATTTGGCCCATCAAGTCCATGCTGACCCACTGAAGAGCACCCCACTTTGACACACCTCCAACCCTATCCCATAACCCTGCATTTTTCATGGCTAATCCACCTAGCCTGCACATCCCTGGATACTATAGGCAATTTGCATGGCCAATCGACCTAACCTACACAGCTTTGGACTGTGGGAGGAAGCTGAAGCACCCAGAGGAAACTCCACACAGACAGATGCCTGAGAATGGTATCAAACGCAACTCCCAGGTGCTGTGAGGCAGCAGTGCTAACCACTGAGCCACCAAGCTGCCCCAACATGATATCCCAATTCCTACACTCAAAGGTCCAAGCAATGAAGGCAAACATGCTAAATGTCTTCTTAACTACCCTGTATACCAGTGATGCAAATTTCTAAGAATTATGTACCTGAACCTCTAAGTGTCTCTCTTCTACAAGACTGTCCAGGGCCCTACCATTAATTGTATAAGTGCTGCCCTTATTTGTTTTACCAAAACATACTACCTCACATTTATCCAAATTAAACTCAATCTGCTACTCCTTAGCCCATTGTCGCAATTGATCAAGACCTCTTTGTAATCTTTGATAACCTTCTTCACAATCCACTAGACCACCAACTTTGGTGTAATCCGCAAACTTACTAATCATGCCTCCTACATTCTCATCTGAATCATATATGTAAATGACAAACAAAAGTGGATCCAGTGCAGATCCCTGTGGAACACCGCTGGTCACAGGCCTCCAGTCCAAATAACAACCCTCCACTATCACTCTCTGTCTCCTATCATTAAGCCAAGTTTGTATCCAATTGGCAAGCTCACCCTGAATCCCATGTGATCTAACTTTACTAATTAGTCTACCATACGGAACCTTGTCAAAGGCTTTACTGAAGTCCAAGTAAACAATCTCTACTGCTCTGTCTTCATCAACATTTCGCTTACTTTCTCAAAAAACTCGTTCAAGTTTGTGAGACAAGTTTTCCCTTGCACAAAATGACACTGACTATCCTGAATCATTTCTTGCCTCTCCAAATGCAAGTAAATCCTATCTTTCAGAATCATCTCCAACAACTTACCCATCACTGATATCAGGCTCACGGGTCTATAGTACCCAGACTTCTCCTTACAGCCTGTCTTAAATAAGGGCAAAACATTAGCCACCCTCCAATCCTCCGGCATCCTGCCCATGGTTATAGATGATACAAATATTTCTGCTGGGGGCCCTGTGATTTCCTGCCTAACTTCCCACAACGTCCTGGGATACACTAGATCAGGTCCCGGAGATTTTCCCTCATTTGCCCAACCTTCCCCCTCCCAAAAACGTTAACAGCTCAAACGTTGGGAATAAAAATTATCAAGGTTTTAAATTCAAGTTAATCGGCCAGTTAGACTGTGCAGGTTGTGGCTTTTTAATAATAAACTTCATCTGTGATTTAAGCCATTGAGCACCGTTTCCTGCCAGATGGCCTGCTTTAGCTGTGATTCTGGGCCTCTCTGGAGCAGATAATGCAAACAGGGCTCAATTGCACCAGGTTCACTGGCCTCTCCTGAATAATTGTATCTGCACTCACTGAGCTGACCTCATACTTTAACGGGAGCTTGGTTAACAATGTTCCACTGGTTGGAGGATGAGGCTCTGGGAGCACCAGAGGTCAGGGGACAGGTTATCTGGTGCCAGCACAATTTAAAGGAGAAGGTTCATAATTCCTTGAATGTGGAGTTGCAGGTAGACAGGATAGTGAAGAAGGCATTTGGTATGCTTGCCTTTTTTGGTCAGTGCATTCAGTATGGGAGTTGGGTGGTCATGTTGCGACTTTACAGGACATTGGTTAGGCATTTTTGGAGTATTGTGTGCAATTCTGGTCTCCCTCCTATAGAAAAGATGTTGTGAAACTAGAAAGGGTTCAGAAAAGATTTATGAGGATGTTGCCAGGGTTGGAGGGTTTGAGTTATAGGGAGAGGTTGAGTAGTCTGGAGCTATTTTCCCTTAATTATCGGAGGCTGAAAGATGATCTTATAGAGTTTTATCAAATCATGAGGGGCATGGATAGGGTAAATAGGCAAAGTCTTTTCCCTGGGGTGGTGGAGACCA